CAAATCCGGTCTTGTGTAGGCGCCGAAGATGATTGGTCAGATAAGGATTTAGGATATAAAGAAGATATTTTTTTATTGCTAGTGGGGTGGGACAAAGTCCCTTGTACTGCGGCCACTTCTGGCCTATTGTACCAGCCCCAGATGATAGGTGAGGGTGATTGTGGAGCAATTGGTGGAATGAAGATTGGCAGGGGAAATCTAAGTACTCGGAGAAAACCTGCCCCGGCGCCAGTTTGTCAACCACAAATCCCAATTGACCAGACCCGGGATCGAACCCGGGCCGCCGCGGTAGAAAGCCAGGGACTAACCGCTTTAGCTATGGCGCGGCCCAAAGGAGAGCTTCAGACAGCGCAGTAAGAAGCTAATATCCAAACTGTGTACTGTCTGCCTGAGTTCTGTAGGCGAATGGTAGGAAAATGTAGGTGAACTGCAGTAGAGGCAGCCCGCACTGTTGGTAGGTCAAATGGGAAAAGATTCCATCCTCCGCCAGTTCTATTCTAAAGGGGCAACACCGGCAATGTCCGCATAGATATCACCTCCACATGCCTGTCCTTCCTTCGGAGCAATCACCCGAACTGTCATCACTATCACCAACATGGAACGTTTTCTTCAACTCTTTGTGAACTTTTTTCAGGGTAAAATTATTAATTGTTCTTCGCGCCACAGACTCGTTAAAGTCGTCCAAAGTGGCTAGTGGAGATTTCCTAGGTCTTTCTTTATGGTGTGTCGAAAAGGAAGTGGAAGCCCCAGTTTCGATATTTTTTGTTTCTCTTATTATTCTCCTGACACTACTTTCCGATACACCTGTTGCCTTTGCTACTTCCACTCCTATGTTCTTCACTGCAATTGTTGGCCCAGCCTCTTTCACATACTTACATACATTAATGACAATTTCTCTTGATTATGAAAGTAACACTATTACACTCAGTTTACTTCGTGTAGGTGGCATGTTAAAGGAGATAGAAAAATGTACAAATATAAATAAAAATAAAAGAAAATCAACGAATAAAAATAAACAATAAAATAAAATATTAATACAGTAAATAGCGAATAATACACTCAAATGTGACTCCAAGAGTCAAAACTTTTTAATTTACCTGTACAAGGGAGAATGCTTTTACTGAACTTGAGACGTCTGCTCGCACTGAAAACAAATGAATGACTAATCACAACACCCCTCAACTTTCACGAATGGACCTGCTCACCCACTGCGCAGCTTTTCCTGGACTGTCACTTCTAAATACCCGGCCTGTGCCAGGAATCTTCCTGGGGGGTAAAGGACGGCCGGGGCGTAAAACTGGCAACCTCACCGCCATCTGTGAGCCGATTATCTAGAAAATGTGGGAACCTCAACATCTCATAACCCAATGGTCCTCCACGGCCTGTTATAAGGATAGCTTTACCTACATTATTATTATTATTATTATTATTGTAATGCGTAGATTTGTTACTGTGGTCTAGTTTTCTTGCTTCATATTGTCACATATTGTGCATAAGATTTAGAAGTTTGTGACAATGGTATATTACCACAATTATCGACTTTTGTGCTTAGTGATATAGTTCTCAAAAGCATTTTAAATTTGTATTGTTCCAAATATATCTACTTTTTTATATCAGAAAATTAGGGATGAAGTGACAGGCTGCTGGAAAGAAAACTGCATAATGAAAAGCTTCATAACTTATATTTTCGCCAAGTTTAATTAGGTTGATCACGTCATGGCGGATGAGATGGACAGGGCATGTAGCACGAATTGGGACGAGAGGAATATATATATATATATACAGGGTGAGCCAGACTCAATTAGGCANTGGACATTTCGAGGACAAGTTTGCGGAGAGTTTTGAGTGACGTGAAGCTGACGCCATACCATCCACGGCTTATTCATGTTCCTAACGAGGACGACTTCGACAGGCCACTCGAGTTCGCCGAGTTGATGCTGACCAAGTTTCAGGAGAACCCTGAATATATTATCCGGAATATTGTCTGGACTGATGAGGCCAAATTTCACACATCAGGATCGGTCATCAGACACAACTGCGTGTTTTGGCGGCCAGAGAACCCCAGTGCCACCATTGAATACGATTTCCAGTCCCCGGGAGTGATGGTGTGGGGCGGCGTGACGTACGAAGGCCTGATTGGCCCGTTCTTCCTTGAAGGTTGCGTCACGGGGGAAACCTACCTAAAGTTGCTGAGGGAAAGTGTCATCCCAGAACTTCAGAGGAGAGAGAACTTTGATGAACTATGGTGGCAGCAAGATGGGACCCCACCACACTTCGACAATATTGTTCGGGCGTTCTTGCATCAAGATTTTCCTCAACGCTGAATTGGCCGTCGAGGGCCTGTGGAGTGGCCAGCCCGATCACCCATCACCCCACCAGACTTTTTCCTTTGGGGTTACCTCAGAGACAAGGTGTACGCTAATCCCATTGACAGTGTGAAACATCTGTGTGAGGTGATTGTTCAGGAGTTCAATAAAGTTCCGGTGAATATGTGTAGAAAGGCGTGTGAAAATGTTGCTTTGCGTCTGCAAGCCTGTGTTGACTTAGGTGGTGCCCTGGTTGACCAGCATCTTGAAAATCGATGTCTTATGTGTGTGAGATTCCATTTTTGTAACCATTGAAATTGTTAACATTTATCAATAACAATAAGATCTAATCAAAAACTGCCTAATTGAGCCGGGCACACCTTGTGTAAAATATATTGGAGGAAAAGCCTGAAGGAAAGAGTCTGATAGGAAGACCAAGAAGTAGGTGGATGGATAATATTATAAGGGATTCTAGAGAGACAGGATGAGATGGTATCGACAGGATCGATCTAGCTCAGGATAGGTACCAGTGGAGGGCTTTTGTGAGCACGGTAACGAAATTTCACGTTGAGTACCTGCACAAGTGGCAGCTTTACAAGAAGGGCTGAGCTCCATTGAATTAAGAGTTATCATAGAAGTACCTTGGATTTAAAATTAAATACGTTTTAATAAAAGTGGACCCTTTTCGCCTAAGTATAACATATTTTCAGACTTCGGATGGAGGATAGCTGCAAGAGTCAAAATGGCTGACAAAGGGTGACCCCCATTATTACCCCAAACATACAAAAGAGGCAATGTTACATAGAACCCAATTAGTCTCGTGTAGGTCCGACTGTTTGTCTCGAACTATAATAGAGGAAAATGGACGTGAGATTTGGAAACGTATCGTGAACAGGAGTCAGCACAGCAGCCTGTGAAGTTATTGTGGTTCTTTTAACTCTCCTCACCACACTCATTCTATCAGACTTAATTGCATAATTTCAAGATCCTGGCGTGAAAGTCGCCTTCTTGTTCCTGCATCACAAGTTCTCATTGTAGCCATATTGGTATTAAAATTATGGGCTTTTTGGACATTATAAATCGTCCGGATATTTTAAGTACATTATTTCGCAGACTGCCTTCGTCCTTAGGCATTACGCCTGCGCAGTTGATCACAATCGAAATGATCCGTATCTCTTGAAGTAATATACGTAGTACTTACTTACTTACTCATGGAGCTGAGCCCTTCTGGAGAAGCCGACAATTCTGCAGCTACTCAAGAATTTCCCAGCATTTCATAGAACCCAAAGGTTCATTACCGTGTTCACAAGAGCCCTCCACTGGTCCCTATCCCGAGTCAGATCAATCCAATCAATACCATCCCATCCTATCTCTCTAAGATCCAGTTTAATATTGTCCACCCACCTACGCCTTTGTCATTCCAGTGGTCTCTTTCCTTCATGCTTTCCCACTAATATCCTATACGTATTCCTCCAGTCGTGCTACATGCCATGCCCACCTCATCCTCCTTGACTTGATCATTCTTATTATATTTGGAGAAGAGTACAAATTATGAAGCTGCTCATTATGCAGTTTTCTCCAACCTCCTGTCACTTCATCTCTCTTCGGCCCAAAAATTCTCCTCAACTACTGTTCTCAAACACCCTCGGTCTATGTTCCTCCCTTAATGTCAGAGGCCAAGTTTCATACCCATACAGAACCGCAGGCAATATTATAGTTTTGAATATTCTAATTTTCATGTTTTTGGACAGCAGACGAGAGGACAAAAGGTTCTGGACTGAATGGTAGCAAGCATTACCCGAGTTCAATCGCCTCTTAATTTCCTCCTGAATCAGGTTTCGATCTGTTATCGTTGTTCCAAAATATTTTAATTGTGTCACATTTTCTAAACATCTGTTTCCTATCTTTATGTCATGATTTTACCCTGCATTTGGTGACGAGACAGTAACATATACTTAGTTCTCTCTGTGTTTACTTCTAGACCAACCTTCTTACTTGCGTCAATTAAAGTTTGTGTTTCTCTTTATGGTATCTACATTATCGCCCAGTAGATTCACATCATCGGCGTATACCAATAGCTGATGTGTCCCGTTTAATTTCAGTCCCACAATATACGTAGTATCGTCACGAAATTTTAGATCTTATTTCCATAGTGATATTGTTTAGTAACAAGATTATGTGGTTTTCAGTGATATGTTCTCTTGTGGAATTTCAGTTTTATGTTGCGGTCTGCATTGCAAGTATGTTCTCTTGGTTCAGTTACATACATCAGCATTATATAACTCAGCCTTCTTCGGAGCTCTGCACGAACAATAGACCACTGAAGACCACCTCATTTTGTTACTTTCCAATATTCATGTAACCAAAAATGACAATATGACTGTCATTAGAACTTGTGATGTGGGGACAAGAAAACGACATCCGCTGCAGGACTTTGATCAGCTGCAAGTTCATGGGATTTTGAAGAACAAATTTTTATTTTTCGGAACAATAATTAAAAGCTAAATCCCCTCTTCTCAAGCACTTAGTACATTAATACGCACCACCAAATTGGCCTGAACTAAAGTGAAATTATGACACATGATTCGAGAACCGAATATGTGGCAGCACTCATATTAATGTGATAGCCTACAATGAACAAAAGTGAACTGAACTAAAGTTAAATAATATTTTATTTAAGAACTGAATGTTTGATAACACTCTCAGTAATGTGAGGGACTACAATAATCCAAAGTTAACTGAACTAAATAATATATCAGTATTTTATTCGAGACTTAACTGGGAGATTATTCATTAATGCAAGAGATAATAATTCACCGAAGTGAATTTAACTGAACTAAATTACAATACATTAACGAATGTACAACGTAAATTATGAAGGTTACTATCTCCTCAGATATTATGATGTTTAGTTCGAATGTTCACTAACATATCGAAAAGAATGCACAGCTTCCATCGTCAGGGTGAAAGATATGCTAAACAAGATTCTAACTCAGCTTATTTCTTACTTATGGCTTGTTTCTCCCTTAGCAAATCTTACACCCTGAAGATTGAGTTAATATATTCCTCCGAAACGCCAGTGGTCCTCTGTCGGCCAACAAATCTTCAGATTCCAGACGATAGTACTCCTCAGTCACCGCAAGCAGGACTTCAGCTCCAGCCTGGGATATAACTGTTGCCATTTCGTTAACAACTCACGCATGATATGCACTAATTTGAGAAAATATCTGGAGAAACTCAAATGACATTGGGGCACAATGTCGAAAGAATGGAATATAAAATACTTCTAAAAGCATAAACTTTTTGGGAGACCCAAAAACGGTGATCCAGCCAGTGTTGATCTTAGATTCTGGTCTTGATGGCCAGATCATTCTCCATAAGAAAGAATAATTCTATATAGCTGTTTTAGAAACAAATGTCTTCGATCAGTTAACAGTCAGATGAAAAAAAAAATGTTTCTATAGTCAATATTCTAGACATTATTCATCGTTCTAATTTTTATTTTAAACGTCGTCAATTAAAGAACCTATTCTGTAGGACCCAAACAGCGCAGCCAGTCGCTCGCAGATCGTAACTAGCTCTACCGCATGGACTAACAAAGTAGACTTTTAACCAGAGGAAGTAGACAGAATGGTCTCCAAAATTTAGTTTCAAATATAAATTAGCCCGATGGGTAATGTCAAACTGAAAATGATGAATGTGTTAGTGTACCACTGCCACGAACTATTTGCAGTTATGTCAAGTCTTCTCCATGACGGAAAGAAGTCCTCAGTAGTCCTGTTGAAAAAGAAACACTCATTAACCCTTGTAAGGATTTAGATTAAGGAAAAACATAAGTTATAAACAATTATTGTACGAGTATTATATTAAACCTACTCATAACGGAATCCCAAGAGACTCTTTCCTTCAGAAACAGTTTAAAATATTTCGTTTTAAGCCGTACATATATTTACACAAATTTTGTGCCGACAGAAGGACAAATATTCTTACCTCTTTCTTTTCTAACATTGCTTTATATTGTTCTTCTGGCCGCTTCTTCCTGAAAAATCCACACTGAAAAACGAAACAAAAAGAACAACACAATTAATGCATCGAATAAAACAACTAAACGGGATTTATGGTCTCCACAGCGGTTATTATGAAAATTTATATTTTCTGGGATATAGTGACGTGCACTCCGCTGAGAGTCAAAAGCCTTTCCGGAGGAACTCTTTTCCTTCACATTCAAAGTCGAAGAATCCAGCTTAAAGTGTTTAACAAGTAGATCAGTGCTTGTTTCTCTGAAATTTTGGTTGATTTTCAACAGACTTCAAGGTGCCATATCTCAGAAGATACAGCTCTCCATGACAACTACAGTATCTTCTTTCTATTCTCATTTCTACCTGCGAGGTATCCGATTCGATACTCAGTGGGGGCAGCGGCTTTCTTGCTTGAGATCAGTGTTGATCTCCTCAGTCCATGAATCCGAAAATCGAAAAATTGATTTGTTTGCAGTTCCGATGACATTCCCCCCCCCCTTTCATTCTTTCCAGTCCTAACGACACCCATCTCCTTGGACTTTAAGAAATATCTAATATAAGACACTGCCGGTCACTGTAGCTGAGCGGTCTAAGGCGTGCACTGTCTTCGCTCGCTCGGAAGCCGAGATCGTGGGTTCGAATCCCACTCAGGGCATGGATGTTTGTGTGCGTTTTTCTGTGTTTGTGTACAGGTAGAGGCCTTGCGACGAGCTGATGAGTCCTAGCCCAAGGAGTCCTACCGAATGTGTAAGATCTAGAAAAACCGAAGTGAACGGAGAAGTTCATGGAGGTAGGCCTAGGCCCAAATTGGGGCTGTAGTGCCAAGAGGAAAAAAATATAAGACACTGCCGTGTAATAACTTACCAATCGAGCAAATAAAAACCAATATCCGTATTCAAGCTGTTTAAAAATAATTTGTAAACCTTAAGCGACTGAACCTGAATGGACCATCGGTATTTCTTTTTGCAGGGGGTCCGAATTTTTCCATTGTCACCTCTCTCAGGCTAGTCAGAGTCTCACGTAGACCACCCAAATGACTGTGAGTGTCTTTTCTCTCAGGAATAAAATAATTGAAACGTGGAACTATTCACACACATCCATCTGTGTTGAAACGAAAATGAGTGAAATTTTACTAACACTTCCCTTGACGGTTTTCCTGGGATTGTGAATTCTTTAATTTGGGTGTGGGATGAACCGAGTCCGCTTTGTACGTCAGCCACTAATGGGTCCTTTGTATCATACGTATATCAGCCCCGGGTGTGTGTGGAGTCATTAGTGGAATGAGAAATGACAGGGGAAACTAAAGTACTAATAACGTCAGCTATGGCACGGCGTAAGGTGCTGATTAGGAAAAGTGACTGTGTAGCCAGAATCGTGGGTAATTCGGGAATAATGGAGCCCCATAATGTTTCGCTGTGCTATGAATAATACAGCAATGCGAAGACTGAAACTTCGTTACATGAAGCCAGTTCTCATTGGGCAGTAAGCATGAGTGTTCGCCTGGTCATCATCTGTAGAAACGGACTTGGTTGCAACTGTTACCCAAGCAGCTCTTGTAGCTTCTACTCAACAAACAATGTCATGTAGACCGTTCATATCACGCTGCCGTTAAAGAAGTGGGTGGAATTATACTTCACTTTTCTTCTGTTAAAATATTCTTACTCAGGGCCCGAGAGAGGTGAAATGGAGCCCGACCCAGTCACAAATTTTGGGGCCCCCATCCCACTACAATATGAACATCACTACTATATTTGTTCTATATCAGTAACTGGCCATAATTTGCTCTATAAGAGTCTCAAAAGAAAGATGACTGGAAAGTCGAGTTTCTGCCGTAATAATTTGAAACAATTAACTACACATAACACTACAAAATATGAAGAACTAAAACAAAATGAAAACTCCGTGACTTAAGTCGAAAGCGAACTGCACCGACCGAGCGACCGCCACTTTTCAGGGAAGTTAGTGTCAACTTCTGCAGATAGAGGGTGTTGCGTGGTCAGGGCAACGGATCCCCACGAACGTTAGTCTCGGTTTTCTAGACCGGAGTCGCCATTTCCTTGAAAAAGCTCCCCAATTGTCATCACGAGTCTGAGTGAACCCCGTTCCAGACCCACTACTTCTCAGAAAAACTTGCAGCGCCTGGAATTGAATCCGGGACCTCTGGATCAGTAGTCAGGAAATCTGACCACTAGATCACAGAAGCGGTCACACATACATTGATAAAAAAAATTATACCTGACTAATCAATTCGATACTCACAATGCAAACGCCGGACAACAATGCAGACGTATTTTAAACAAGAATTTATCGAAAGAGTACTAATATATGTCGATGAAAGGTCAAGAATAATGAGTCACCATCGTCATCATCACAATCGCTGGCGAAACAGCCCGTTTAGAGCCACGGTCTTCCTTAGAAGATTCTGCCAGATTGCATCCGGTTTTAAATCCTTTCGATTTAGCTACAATATTTTTTACAGAGCAAGCACGTCAGTCTCACGTCAAACCTCTAGCCTGTAGGACCAGGTCTCTGTATTCATGTCCTCTAGCAACAGGGAGGCCCAATTATTCACCCCAGGCACCAGATTCATTTTTCGTCGCCTTCTACGATTGGCAGAGCTACTGTGGAATTATTCTAATTAGCATCCTCAATAGAAAAGAATAATAAACAAAAATGTAATCAAACGGAATTCCTACATCAAAGCTTTTTTTTTTCCTTTGCACTACAGCCCCAGTGGGCCTAGGCCTACCTCCATGAACTCCGTTCACTTCGGTTTTTCTAGATCTTACACATACAGTAGGACTCCTTGGGTGAGTGATCAGCTCGTCGCAAGGCCTCTATCTGTAGACCAACACAGAAAAACGCACACAAACATCCATGCCCTCAGTGAGATTCGAACCCACGATTCCGGCTTCAGAGTGAGCGAAGACAGTGCATGCCTTAGACCGCTCGGCTACAGTGACCGGCACATCACTGCTTACTTCTTTTAATTTATAAAATAAATACGGGCGTATTTTGCCCCCCTATGCCAAAGATCTAGGCTAAATAGCCCTGCTGGGCTCCTCCTACGCATCAGTCTGATTTCACATACAATACAGTTCTGCAAAGAACAGGCGATCATCAGAGTGAAATTAATCTGCTACTTCAGTCGCTTTCAGTTTCTTGATTCTGGAACAGAGTTCTGATTAATATTACCACGTGTAAGGGGTGGGTGTGACCGATATTGTGAGTTCTTGATTTGATTAATTGGCTTTATTGGATGTGACTATGACAATTGCACTTGATTACAACAGTTCAGACATCTGGTTCCTTCTGGATAACGAATCTCTCACCGTTGTCTGGATCTGCCTCTAGTCTTCTTTTGTGCATCGCAACAAAGTTATTCCGGAATGACTGGATCCCGTAGTGTATTCCGTATTGAACGAATCCGTCTTGCAAAGTCTCCTGTTACAAATAAACCTTCGGTGCACCGTGTAGGCGTCACCTCCTTCAGCAGTAGATTTATTGCGGTCTTCGCTGTTACTCTGCTTTGGAGGTTCGTTGCCGTGTGAATGAACACGTTGCTGTATGCGTTGCTTAGGAATCGCCATGACTCTCTATGCAATGCATTGCTTCTTCAGTCGTATTCTTTGCTATGGAAACTTGTTCCAGCAGCGGAGCCTTCCGTGTTTCCACGGCAACGTGCTTAGCGAAGCCCCGCCCAGCAGATGGGAAGACTGCAGCTTTCAGGCGTCTTGTCACAATATTCAACATTCTAAGTAATCCTGTGGCGTATAGGCCGCACCATAACTCAAGCGGTTAGTCGCTGGCTTCCCATCTAGGCGGTCCGGGTTCGATCCCGGGTCTGGTCAAGTGGGATTTGTGGTGGGCAAAGTGGGGCTGGGGCGGGTTTTCTCCGAGTACGTCGGTTTCCCCTGCCAATCTTCATTCCACCAAATTCTACATCATCATAATCACCGGGGGCAGGTACAATAGGACAATCACTGGCCGCCGTGCCGAGTGGACCCAAGTGGACTCCAACCCCCACTAATCCTGTGGCGTGTTTTATAACAGTAATATATATATAGAACATTTCTTTTAAATCACTCTTTTCTAACTGAATTCATTCATTCATCAGTAATCTGACAGACGACAGGTCCACAGTCTCTTCCAAAACAGTTCCTCCACTTAATGCGATCTCAAGCTTTCTCCTTCAATTAAAATATTTTTTTCCGTCTTCTTCCTGAATATCTGAGCAAATATCTCAAACATACACACGATAAAATTTTATCTAAAAATGTACATGCTACGAAGTATCTCATTGGTTCCTTCTCTAGAGTGGGCAAGTTTGAAAGCTCAGTTTGTATCGGGAATAACTTGCGATGTAGACGTTCTAGAATTCGGGGTTACATTCGCAGATGTGGGCTAGAGACTCTTCTCTTCAGAGTAATTACCAGACCGGCTATTTTCCTCGAGATTACATCGGCAGGGGCGTGAAGCTGACCACTCATCTCCATCTTGTGCCGAGGTTCCGAGGTTAAGAATGAGCGAAGCTGTAACTGCACTTGTCTATACGTCTTCATGCTTAAGTAAGCATAGGGACAAATTAACACCGCTCTCTTCCAACCCGCCTTTGCTTGTATCAGCGCAGTCGGAATGGTGCTATCCCTGCTACACCTGTTTCTACCTTAGGACAGTGTATGATGCCTACTGGAAGTTGTCCTCACAGATCAAACTAAGGAAGATTGGTATAGGTACGGGAAACTAGCTGGGTCGGTTTGCACGAGTCTCAGGGTAGCGATGCGGCAGAAAGCGTTTTTCTGAGAGTTGAGCCAATTAACGTTTATTCACCTGCTAATTCACCACACTGTTAAATTATTGTATTCTTAGCTTTAAGTTACAGCGTTACACTATCGGCTAGCTATGTCCCGGAGCGTGCAAGGGTCACGTCCGTTCAGTTCGGAATATTGTGAAAGTCTCCCCCCTCTGTGGAATGGCTTGCATCCCCACGCCGGGAAATCGAAAGATGGTGTTGACATATATATTTCATCCCATCTTCCGTAGGAAGCTTGAACGAGGCAACCCAATCATACTGGCCCTCATTCACAGGCAATTGTAACAAGCTCTGACCTGTCCTTTTAGGCGCGTCCGGTTCCCTGTACCCGAGCTAAATTTATGACTGCTCGTAAATGTCAGAACTCCGGACTTCTTGTTTCTGCCAGAATCTAGAAATTTTCAACGTAAACATCGTAATGCACGTCCCAGACGATGAAATACGATATTATAGATCACGATACATTTCCAGTTATATCGAAACATAAGACTTTTGAAATTAAAATTACCGAAAATTAATTAGAAATAAATTTCATGGTCATCTATAATCATCCAAATAAATAAGGGCTCAGAATGATCAGCGTCAAACTGTCTTACAGAAGAAGCTGCCACTGCAACAGTGACGACACCTTCCAAATTATTTACACTTACAAGAACTTACCAAATAAAGGATTACAATGATGATGATGAGCACTAGACCAGCGACTCCAATGATGCAGCCCAATATGAGAAAATTCAATGCGCCTTCCTTCAAAGGCCCGAGAAATTTTGTGGTGACGAAAGCGTCATGCCTGAAAAATAGTTAACTTACATTAATTATTTAAATTGCATTTGATTACTTTTACTGCTAGAGCAGGTACATCTAAAATTGAATTATCACATGTGTAGATCTGGTGCCTAGGAATGTTGGAAGAAACTGTTTATTGCGGTATTGCTATCGCCTTTAACGTGCTTGGGTGTGTAAACGAGTTACAGCAGGATGTGAGCACCGAAGTGCTTTCCCATTCCCAAGTATTTTTGTATGGAAAGGAAAAGAGACGGAGCAACCGGCCCAAATAGAGGAGCAAGATCACGTCAAGATAAGAGTTTGCTGCATATAAGATTTTGGTGGAACATAAGACGGAGGAAATAGACCACTAAGAAAACTTAGACGTGCGAGGATGATATTAAAATGAATCTGAGAGAGATATTATGGGGTTGGATTGACTGGATTAATCTGTCTAAAAATATGAACTAGTACATGACTCTTGTGAACACAGTATCGAATTTGTTCACTCGCCGAGCGACTGGCGGCTTTGCAAGAAGGACTCTGTTCCAGGGGGTTAATTAGTTTTAAGAGTTGATTAATGAAGTTTACAAGTGAACTGCATTCATTAGAATTAGGCTGGTGCTGACTAGTTAATATTGTAGCGTGTATAGCCGTTGCTATGCAACTATCGTTGATGGGTCGTTATATCACAACCGTTTCTGCTCAACGGCTCTGTATACACGTTTCCCCTCAATGGATGTGCATGAAAGAGGGAAGATGAGTGTTGTCTACACGATCTGCGCCTGGAAGTTATAATGAAGAGAATTTGGGGCAACCGAGTCAGTTGATAGTTGGCATTCAGTTCTGCACGGGACTTGAACACGGAAGCAGAGGAGTAGCCGTTGTTCACACCCATTACCAGGAAACGTCTAGTGATAACAATGCAGAAAAATATCCAGTGTTAGAAGCCGTTACTGTAACCGCTCACTTCCTTTGTGCCCTTTTCGTTGTGCGCCACTCCACCACCGCTCACTTCTTTGGGTTCTTTACTTTAATCAGTAGAGCTGGGTTCCTATCCCAGGGTCTTATAAGGGTCTGACTTGGACAGGGCAGGAAGAACACTTCACTACAATCACCCACCTTTAGACCGTTGCACTTAGTAGTCCTTTAATCCCTTCCAGCTTTCTGCATACAACTGAATTTATTAATACTATTGATTTGAACTGTACTTATACTATTCTACGGAAGGGCCGTAGTGGTAAATTTAGTGTCCGACTTTGCCGAAAGTAGTGTCAAAACTCCTCGAGGTGGAAAGCCCTCCCTCTGAATTCTGAGGTCCACGAACCCCAGACTCCAAGAGAAATCCACTCCTCCACTTCTGCCATTGGTTAATTCTTTTAAACTAGGAGGTTCCCTAAATTTTGAATTCCCAATCATGTTGCTCTGCTATGTGATTCTGGCAGATGCTGACCTGACGCTAAGGATGACAGCCCCTTGATGCATTTCAGTCAGGGTGTGAGGCTCCGGCCGTCCCACTTCTAAGTTATCGCTGTCCCAAGCTGTCAGCTCTCATTTTCTCAAAGCCTTTCCGACGTTGCTGAAACTGCCAGAATTCCAGGAAAGTACCAGATGTTACTTCCTGTTCACATAGCAAAACTTGAACTATGTCCCTTCCGCGTGTAAGAGCTGGCTATCTGCCGGATCTCTTTGTTTGTAATATTGTTAATCTTAATCTAATACATGTTTAATTTATGCACAACAGTTCTCCAATCAAATGAACGGTTACATTACCAGGAAAGGTCTAGTGATGGCACTGTAGGCTGGAAGTGACGTAATGTTTGCAGCAGTGTTTTGTAAAACGAGGAAATAGCAATACTGTTATAGTTATTTGTAGTTATGACCTGTAAATAATCAATAAATCTATTCACCTATCCAAACCCCGTCTATAGGCGCACATATACATCTTTCAATATTATCAATGAATTTGCATTCGTAATTGCAAGCAACATTTGGGTCATTGCTTATTGCGTTGCCGGTAGGTCTATTGCAGTAATATTTGGATCAATATAAGGGATCATAAAATAAGTAGAGCATATGCAGGGCAAATGCAGTACATAAGCAACATTTTCCAGGTTATCTGAGAGCGGTAAATGTGTGCACCTCTATTCTGAACATTACAGGCTATTCTGGCTGAAACTGGCTGTAGTTTCCTCCAGTCTCTTCTGGAGAATGGCGAGTAGCAGAGTAGGGAATAACTGCAAAACCCCCGTCTTTGCATACTCATCTGAACCTCTGCAGATGAAAAGTCCATATTAAACAATTCAGCTGTCAGTCAACGACAAAGTATTGGGGCATGAAGAAGACGTACTATAATTTAGTATCGTATTCGTGCAACTCCATACAGTTCGGCATGTGTGCAAAAGTTTCGTCAGGACTAAACCGATTTTGAAAGTCAAACACGTCCAGTTGCCTATAGACCTGTCATAAACAATCCAGAGATCCTGTCCGTGGGCTTAAAGCTATTAATATTATAAAAACTTACTGGTCTTCTTCTTTCTGCTCTATATTTGATGGACTCTTGATGTTCACTTTGCCCATTGTAGAGAAAAGGATAATGTCTTCTTTTCCCATTGCAGATTCTGTAATAAATCCAATAGTATTTCTTTTATTGCTAGTGGGGTGGGACTAAGTTCCTTGTACTGCGGCCACTTCTGGCCTATTGTACCAGCTCCAGATGATAGGTGAGGGTGATTGTGGAGCAATAGGTTGAATGAAGACTGGCAGGGAAAACTGAAGTACAAATCTGCCCCAGCGCCACTTTGTCCACCACAAATCCCACTTGACGAGACCCGGGATCGAACCCTGGCCGTCGCGGTGGAAAGCCAGCGAATAACCGCTTGAGCTATGGCGCGGCCCAATCCAATAGAATACTCTAAAGTTCCGAATACAGCAGACTATTATTCAACGAAATACGTATTTTCTATAATACTTAAATTTATTCAATAATAATATTTATTTATATAATTAACACCAAATCCATATCTCATCTATTTAGGTTTCGGTTTGATGGCATAAGTATTAAGCTATTTGAGCGTAGAATTGTCAATTTTTATGTTGATAAATGGTAGCATACTTATAACTTTGTCATGAAATTTAATTTATAAGCTAATAATATTAACCTATGAGGCTGTGTTGACAGTAATATCGCTGACACAGTTTGAACAAGCTTCACAAAAGTAAAGAAAAGTAAGATAAAATGAAAAGAACCATATTTTGTGACAGATTTATTGTTGGAGACTGTAATGAAAACGAATGTCCGAGAGTAATTTGATTGTATCCTCATCTGCAGATGAACCCAGAATGCTAAACCGTGAGCAGAATTTGTTTTCATTGCTGGGTTCAGAACTTTCAGTAGTTATGGCAATATCAAAACACAATATCCACGGGACTAGAAGTAGGAGCAAGAGAGGCGATTTCTATACATGTAGATCCGCCCAGAACTCCTTGTGTTTCCCAGTTTGTAATAAAAACATAGCATGAGACATTTCTTTAGCTTGAAGTCATTCTTGAATAGTGGTGAAGTAGCTTCCGAAGGAAGATACTCTATTGCATGGAGTATAGGACATATCGACGTACACTCGAATATGATTTGAGATCGAAGTGGGAGAAAAAGATTCGATTAATCAGCTCAGAATATTCCATTTTTACCTGCAAATTATTACTTTCAACATGACTATGACCTGAGTAAGACTAAATAAATTAACACATCGACTTGAAGTCACGCGAGTAGAATATTTATACACGATCTAATTTCAAAATGTGCAACGAAGTTATGAAAAACTGAACTCACCTAAGTCCTCATAGTTAGAAGAGATATTGAAAGCGACGATGGCCCTTGACTTGTTCCTGATCGGTCCCTTGAGACTGCATCGCACAGTGACGCAAGTCGCTTCTGGATTCTGGCAATTGACAGACAAAGTTCTTCCCTTCGTTGGTTTTGGCTTCGGCACTGCTGAGTAAGTTTCGATATTGAGGGATTGTACTCCCTGTGGCGTGTCCTCAGGTTCCGAACTATTGCTGCTTTCTGTGATGTTTTCATATTCCACTGGAGTGTAGTCACTGGTTGAGGCAAACTCTTCGGTAGTGTTTTCCGGTTCAGAGTTGTTGACATAACTATTTGAGAGTTTACGTATTCTCCCAGAAACCCTGTCAGATCTCTCGCAATGTAGAGCTCCAGTATCGTTCCATGTCTAGAAATAAGCACAACTTAGCAAATGAAAGTTTTGCATAATAATACTTGGACTCTCACTCTGTAATTTCCCTTAGACATTAAATTTGTTATTATTAAATTCTGAGGCGCTCATATAATTAACGTATAATTGATGCGGAGGGGACGAGAGGGGAAAACTTTTATTGTGCAAATTCTCTGTTCAAGAGTAGCTGTGCTGAGGGTTTCAACGGAGCATATACTGTATATTTCCTTATCTTGTTCATCTGAAGATAGACCGTCTCTGTGGTCTAGAGGTCAGAGTTCCTGGCTACAGATCCAGAGGTCCCGGGTTCGATTCCCTGCGCCACCAGATTTTATGAAAGGTAGTGAATCTGGAACGGGGTCCATTCAGCCTCTTGAGAATAATTAAAGAGCTATTCCAAGGAAATAAGGGGCTCCGGTCTAGAAAACCGAAATTAAATGCCGAAAACGCGACACCCTCTGTCCGCTAAAGTTGGCACTAACTACGCCGACAAGCGGCGGTCGCTCGGTCGTTATAGTTCGTTTGCGGACTAAGACCGCGGAGTTTTTTTTCTTGTTCGTCTGAAGATAGGGCAGTTGTTTGGAATGAACTCGCACAAGGGACATAGTCCAAAGGTAATAATGTGTAACAATGTGTTACGTCATCATCAGAAAGCTTTTAACTATCTGCTAAACAAGCATCTGGTAAGTAACAAAGCAGTTTTAAAAAGAATATTCAAATATTAATTATTTTTCTCGAGATTCATGCATAACGCAACCTACAAGCAATAGACCTATAACATGTTCTAGAATAGGCTTAGGTCCTAGTGTTCTGCATTATGGTTTAATAAGGTGGACTAGAATCTATCAGAGTGAGAGATGGGTGCAAATGCTATATATCCAGTTTTTATTGAAACTGAAAGGACATGAATATTTTGCTTATTCTGTTCATGCGGCAATAGACTATTTCTAATTTCCCTGAATATCTTAGTAGATGTATCGACTGAGCTACAAGCTGTACAGGCGAGGAATCCGTGTTCGATTGCCGATAAGGGCAAGAGATAAGGTTGATAGCGGCTCTGGGGTCCACCTAGCCTGTTATGCAATAGTTAGCCAGAAATACGAGTATTTCCCTGCTGGTAAACCGGCAGCGGTGTTATGCTTGTATCTCACCTATATCTAATCCCAAGATTAAGAATGATGCAGTTCCTCCACTTCTTTATTTGTCTCCAACACGTAGTGCTCAATTACTTAAAGCCCAGGGATAATTTTACCTTTTTTATCCGAAAACGAATTTCATATATCAAGTACTTCTAAATAGTTCATTATCAATTGTCGCAAATTCACAACCGAAGACTCAATACCCTTTCCAGAAGTCTCTCAGCAAACAAAATTGAAATTAACAGCACTGATAATGATTTCATACACAGTATTTTAATGGATGGCACCTCAACAAGCCCGATTTAATTCGTGATAATTTAGAGAGAGTCTGTCTCAGTCTATTCCTTCAATGTTAGGCTGACCCTAACAGATATCTAAAAACGTTAAATTTGTTCGGAGGAATCATATTTTGAAATACCCAGTATTCCTTTAACTGTTATTTTATATTATATATACAACAAAACAATTCTGTATACATCTAAACTTCTGTAGTCGGAATAGTTCAGTCGGCATATTAACTAGAGGCTAGACTACCGAGAAATCGGGCATCGTTTCCCGACAAGTGCAAGAAATCTTTTATCTCCATAGCCTTCAGACCAGCTTATGGGCTTTCCCACATCCTCATCCAATATGCATCAGGACTCCTCCCCGAAAAAAGGCGGAGGGAACGTGAAGCTGACCACTTACCTCCAGCTAGTGCTGAGGTTAAGAACGCATGGGGCTATACTTCTACTGCCCACATGACTTTATGGTTTGATGCTTAATTTAATAGAGGGATAACGTTGCTCTTTTGTTTCCACCTATAAATGTGTACCTCGGTACTTATAGGACTATATAATGAATCATCATTATAAAATTTCTGTCGTTAATCATAGGCTACTTACTCGGATATCATGTATTTGAAATAATTTTTTGACTGATCCGTATGAAACAGGGATTTTGAATTCGAGGTCTACCAGGTTCAAAGAACTGGGTCCGAAGTTTTCCATCTGAAAAGAGATAATCACATTTGATTCAACAGATATTTTATGTCGTCTATGAACTTGCACACACCCCTAGTAAAGAGAATCAAAATGAAACTTTATTAGCGCCAGCACGTGAATGAAATTCAAGTTAAAGTTTGCTCTAGTAAAAAGATGTACTTTGTCTTTTAAATACAATTTTAATACATTTCAAAGAATTCATAATGCCTTCTTTGTTAACGTACAGCTTTCAGCTGCGTATTCACTCGGTGATTTGGAATATTTATTTATGATCTGAAATATTTATAGTATGTTCAGCTTTCTGTGGCACATAAATAAAAGAATGCCCACATGAGCAAACGCAATATGAGCAAGATTTTACAGCATCTTATAAAAGAGGATTCTGAAAGAATCTACTTAATATTTGAAGAAATCAGTCTTGTGGGATGTGGCGCCGTGTCGATATTGTGTTAATCGACCTTTTGGAGGAACGTATCGCCTCCATCTTCAGGGTAGAAGGTAGAAAAAATCCGCTAGCGAGGAACCAGCGTGAGCAGGTGTTAGAACCGCTTGCGGATTTTCTTCTTTCTTCTTCTACCCTGAAGAGAGAGGCGACACGTTCATCCGAAACATCGATTAACATAATATCTACAAGGCGCCCCATCACAGAAGACTGCTTTCTTCATAGTCACCACCGTGAAAACCACAAACCTTACAACTTAATATTTGATGCAGTTTCAACTTCCAATATTAATTCGCTCTAATATGTGTTTCATGTTGGAGAAAACTGCATAATGAGGAGCTTCATAACTTGTACTCTTCTCCAAGTATAATTAGAATGATCAAGTGAAGGAGGATGAGGTGGGCAGGTCATGTAGCACGAATGGGGGAGACGAGGAATGCGTATAGGATATTGGTGGGAAAGCCAGAAGGAAAACGACCACAGGGAAGACCAAGGCGTAGGTGGGTGGATAATATTAGAATGGATCTTAGAGAGATAGGATGGGATGGTATGGATTGGATAGATCTGGCTCAGGATAGGGACCAATGGAGGGCTCCTGTGAACACGGTGATGAACCTTCGGGTTCCATAAAATGCTGGGAAATTCTTGAGTAGCTGCAGAATTGGCTCCTCCAGAAGGGCTCAGCTCCATGAGTAAGTAAGTAAGTAATATGTGTTTCGTTTCATTCCTGTATTTTAAGGTCAGATAAGAGAAAATGTCGTCATATTTAAAATACAAGAATTTATTCTTTCTAGTTGCTTACTAATTGTGTATGAAGACACTTTTTCTGTAGAACCTTAGACATCTCATATTTACATGAATTAATGCAAATTATTAAAGGGAGTGCAATGTGGCACAGAATGAAACATAATTAAAATGTTGTGTTCTTTTGTGACGGCAAGAACTCTATTTCTACTTAAGCACCACAAATTGAATGTAGAGCTATAAAAATTATTCATTTGTGTTAGATATGTTTAGAATATGTTTAGAATTCTCTGAATGCCTTAATAAATGTTCAGGTCTCATAACAAAGGAAACTGATGCAACTTCTAAATGCTGTATTTATTTACTCTTCAAGAACGGGAATGAAGTGTTATGTCTTCTGGGATATAATGCCCTGTAGCTTGTTGGAAGTTAACCGACGTTTCGGAGGAACATGTCGACTTAATCTTCAGGGTCGAAGAATAAGCAAAGTAAGAAAAAATATGAAGCAGATAGTAGATGATATGTTCCTCCGAAACGTCGGCTGACTTTGAACGGACTACATGGCGTTATATCCCTATAGAGCGAACTATTCGTTAACCACCTCTCTGGCAACCTCAAATGCTACAAGAACGTTAATGCTTGGGTCACTAAAATCCTTTGGACAGAATGTGTTTGAGTAATTACAAAAGGAAACAAAAGTTCTCCAGGCAGAGTTTGAATCTCAAAACGTTTAATTTCTTCTCCAAATTATTACTGGTCTTCATAACCAGAACCAAATATTCACCTGAAGCTACTTCACTAGTGGATCTCTGATACAAAAGCCGATTACTTGACAGTTAATTATTATGAAATTATGAAACAAGAATGGCATACTTGTCTCATCTGTTTCTTTTAGTGTACGGAAAGAAAAAAGTTTTAATTTCAGCTTGCCTTTCTTATTATCCTTATTACCTTTAATTATGATCGTCAAACGGAAAGCTAAATATAAATTTCATACGCATATGTGTAAATGAAAGCCGTGTCATAGCACAGGCTGTTAGACTCTGGCTTCCCAACGCAGAGGCTCTGGTTCTATCCCAGGTCAAGTCATGTGGGGTTTGTGGTGGACAAAGTTGCCCTGGGGTAGGGGTTTCTCCGAGTACTTCGGTTTCCCTTGCCTTCCTTCATTCCACCGACTGCTCCACACTCATCATCTATCGTCTGGGGTTGGTACAATAGGCCAGTTAGTGGCCGCAGTGCCAAGTGTACTCAGTCTCACCCCACCTCAAGAGAAATTGCATGTACACATATATGGTGCACAGATTACCGTAAAGAAAAGTTGTTAAATTTTTAAGATCACGCAAATTTAAGGCTCAGTGTTAGTGAAGCTTGTGACCCTTCAATCCTAGACGTTCACAAGTCCGCCTTGTGGGCAGAGAAAATGAAGTTAAAAAATCTGAAAAAAAATTTGGTGAAATTATGTGCGTCCCCTTATTCGCGAAGATTCATCCAATTCTTTAAAGTTAAGGCTATTAGGGGAAATAGAGAGGCACAAGAAAATGCCATAAAATATTTCTGTGAAGTGCGGAAAATGGGATTAACAACAGTAATATGAGATTTGTTTATTCTAACGACATATCTTCTCGCCATGATATTAAAATTCATTCACTAAGTACTTTCATATTCACATTCTTGAGGCACTTACCTTGTATGTGTGTGAGAAATACATGCGTTCTTCCTTCGATTCCATCCGACTCGAGTAAAACCTTTTTTCTACATTTGTGTACCTGAAAACAGTTACTGAATAACCAAAAGTGATTTTAACAGATCTTACATGAATTATGAAAGATTGATGATTTCTCAACAAACTACAGTTAAGATACTAGGCCACAATATTTGTCCTTCATGTGGCAACAAATTTTTGAAGCGCTATTTTAGAGTGGTCTAAGGCATGAACTGTCTTCGTCCGCTAGAACACTGGGGTCGTGGGTTAAAATAGCACTCGAGACATTGAAGTCGGTACTCGTTATTCTGTCTTTGAGCTGTCCTGTGTGTCGGAAGAGGCCTTGCAAAGAACTGATACCCCGTCCAAGGAGTCCTACCGCCTTTGTACAGGATTACATAACTGAAAAATTTACATTGCCCAATAAAAAGCCGTAGAACGATTTATGAATGAATAAATTATGTAATTAAAAAATTGTGTCACGTCTGCTGAAGCCGGAATAGTTTAATCAGCAGAGACAGCCGTTGTAAGGCAACAGCTCTGTAAACAAATTTCCACTGCTATTAGGTCAAGTGGACCGCCTCTGTGGTCTAGTGGTGTTCAATTCCCGGCGCTACCAGATTTTCTGAAAAGTAGTGGGTCTGGAAGGAAAGGGGTCCACTCGGCCTCGTGAGGATAATTGAGGAGCAAATTCAAAGAAGTAGCGGCTCCGGTCTAAAACCCCGAAATTAACGGGCGTGGGGATTCGTTGCGCTGACCACACATCTTCTTACCTCTAAATTTGTCACTAACTTCGCTGACAAACGGCGGTCTCTTTGTCAGTATAGTTCGCTTTCGGAGTAAAACTACGGAGTTTTTTATTTGTCTTGTTTATCGGGTCAGGTGACCACTGCCGCGCTTACACGCAACAGAGGAACTGTCACGTATGCGTCTACGGTGATATCACGCAACGCTGAGAGAGCACTGGGAAGCGGTGTTGGTAGGCTGTCCGGCACCAGGCGGACAGTGTCGCTACAATGCAGCATGTGATGTCACGTCACCGATATCAACAGAAGAACGATGTTTGCTGTTCGGTCCGTGCAGAGGCTATATCTGAAGAATCGAAACACAAGCCAGTCAGTCTGAGTACAGTCTAGAGTGAGGTGTAGAGCAAGTCTTCAAGAGTCACCCCTGGTGGAGGCAGAGGAGTCTCCATTGTCGTAAGTCGCTGTGAAGCAACGCTGAGTTAGTTGTAAGATAGGCGCCAGCCAGCGAGGACAGCAGCCGCTGAACACGGATGCTGAGGAATCTATCGCGTTGGAAGCCGTTACAAGACAATCTGCTAATGCACAGCAGAATTAGTCCATGTTGTAGTGTATTGTAGAATGGGTGAATTAACGATAGCGTTACAGTTATTTGTAGTTAGTATCTGTAAGTGTTCAATAAATCCAAACCCCGTCTACAGTCACTCCATGAGGTGAGAATATAATTGTGATTTCTTCTTCTTTTCCTGTCCGTCCTGTTCCCATCAGAATTAATATGGAAATACTCGTATGGATCTTATAGAGAGTCGGTAAGTCTCCTTGGATGAGTGATCAGCCCTGTCACAAGGTCACTGCCTACACATGTCAATACAAACATAGAAGAAACGCGGACACACATCCATGCCTCGAGTGGAATTCGAATCCACGATTCCAGTGTTTAAGTAGGCGGAGTCATTTCATACCATAGACCACGTGATCACTGAGATCAGCTGATTATTTTTTCTGTGTTTAATGTCTTTCGGAATTTCGATAGCTCAGTCGGCATAGCGACAGCCTACGGACTGGACGGCCGGGGTTCGAATTTCGGTAGGGGCAAGATTTTTCTCTTTCCCACAGCGTCCAGACTCTGGACCCAATCAGCATCCTATGAAATCGGTACCTGGGACTGTTTCTCCGCGGCTAACGCGGCGGGAGCGTGAAACTGACAATTCACTTCCACTTAGTGCCGAGCTTAAGAAAGATGCAGCTGTAATTCACTTCCCCACACGTGTTCACGGCATAGTGATTAATTAGGTAAGCACAGAAAATAATAAAATGGTATCAAGTCGGTCCAGTGCGATTGACAATTTTTTTAATCTTTCTTCCTTGACATGTTTCGGTCTGGGAGACCGTCTTCAGAAGGATATATCAATATTGGTGTAAAGTACCATTACAGTGACTTTGGTCAATATCAGTACTTACATGCAGTATAAGCGGCCTCCGTAGTCTAGGGGTAACGTTCCCACCTCATGACTCAAGGTACACGGGTTCAAACCCGGAGGAGGTCGTGGAATTTTTAAGGGTGGAAAAATTCAGGGAACAAGTCCTCCGTGAGGGACTTTAAGCCGTTGGTCCCGTGTCGTAGCTTTACGGCACGTAAAAGAACCTCATGTTTCAAGGAGGCCTCTGAGCCAAATTATAAGGTCATTTCCCGCCCAACAATAGTCTCTAACACCTCTGGTAGATGGGGGAAGCATCTAGATACTACTGAGCCAGTAGAGGTCGAACTCTCTGGTTGAGTCGGGACTGATTTACTCACTAATACCGGTAGGGTATAGAGACTGGTAGAATATCACAAGGGGACGTACAATATACCACTGGTCGCGGTGCATGGGGAAACCTACCCCCTCCAATAATAATAAATAATAATACATGCAGTATCATCACAATGCCATGATAAAATCTGATCCTTTAACACTTGCAGTGACGTGCATGAATACATTAAAATATTTATAAATTATTATAATTAGTTTATTTATAAGTGAGGTATAAAATGACTTTGGCAAACACTCAACTTCCTTCAAAGAGAGGCAGTATAAAGGACACGAACCAAATTGGTTCCAAATTCTAACAAAGTCTTGTCGCTAGTGTGACGGACCAGGATGAACCAAATTAAGAACAGAGAAAAATTCACTTTTTTTGTTTAATACATTTGTATATTGATTCCTAAGCTATTACAAAAGTCGTTTATATTGTTGTGGATCTATAGCGTCATATGAAATGGAAAGATATGTGTGAATATTGAGTAAATAACAGGGGAATAACAAAATGTGAAGAAGGTAGTTGTTGCCTGTTTGGAAGTACTATCACAACGTTCGTCTGAACATAGAAAAACCACAAAATGCACAATTAAGGGCAACCAAACCAAGATTCTTCTCGGGTAATCTTCAGTTGTAACAAAGTATTAGGTTAAATATATGTAGAATAAATAAATTTCAAACAATCATGGTTTACTAGTGTTTTATGTTTTCCACGTCATATAGAGCTGAATTAGGCTAATAGATTAATAAAATCACTTACCCTGATAGTTGAATATCTGCTTTCGTTTTCAGAGGTAACGTCAGGTTGTTAATGTTGTCTTGCGATGTCAGTTCTGTACCCGTACTCGTAGCAATCATGTTGAACACCAGCTTCTCAGTTCCGCTTTCCACGTTTTTCATATCCAACTCCAATTCCACGGTCTCCTGTTTACAAGTGAAACATTTTATACACAAGCTTTTTTTTTTGTATATTTGCATTATGAATATTCCTACATGTTACAAATATAACACTAAATATTCGCACTGCAGCCATGTTTTTAATTTTTATTTCGAAAAATATTTAATATACAACTTGTAGACATATGGTGTGACCTACCTCCATACAAAATTTAACTTTCCTAACGCCAATGGTTCATTAGTTACCGCTTTCAGACCTAGAGATAAATACACAATTCATGCGACCATTATTTTTTGCGCATATATAAC